TCTATGGTGCACCTGTAGAAGGTCAGGATCCTCTCTATGGTGCACCTGTAGAAGGTCAGGATACTCTCTATGGTGCACCTGTAGAAGGTCAGGATGCTCTCTATAGGTCAATGCTCTCTATGGTGCACCTGTAGGAGGTCAGGATACTCTCTATGGTGCACCTGTAGAAGGTCAGGATCCTCTCTATGGTGCACCTGTAGAAGGTCAGGATACTCTCTATGGTGCACCTGTAGAAGGTCAGGATCCTCTCTACGGTGCACCTGTAGAAGGTCAGGATCCTCTCTATGGTGCACCTGTAGAAGGTCAGGATCCTCTCTATGGTGCACCTATAGAAGGTCAGGATCCTCTCTATGGTGCACCTGTAGAAGGTCAGGATACTCTCTATGGTGCACCTGTAGAAGGTCAGGATGCTCTCTATGGTGCACCTGTAGGAGGTCAGGATCCTCTCTATGGTGCACCTGTAGAAGGTCAGCATCCTCTCTATGGTGCACCTGTAGAAGGTCAGGATCCTCTCTATGGTGCACCTGTAGAAGTTGCAGAGTATCCTGGAGTCCATGTTGAACCTCTGCAGCCTGCGGAGGAAGAAGAGCCGCTGTCGAGCTGTTTTGGTGATGGTGTTTGTGTGATGAGTCCATGTTAAGTCCTTATAGACGCTAACTCATGCATCTTACCCTTTATGTTTTCTCTTACATTCTCTCAGGCCTTTGAGTTGGTCACTGGAGATTCCCTGTTTGAGCCCAAAGCTGGCGAGTCCATTTCTCTGGAAGAAGGTACATTTAGTACAGTTTGCTGACACTGACAGAGTCGTGACAAACACTGACACAGGATTAAATAGGATTACACTGTTGCTGCTTGTAACTGTTGATGCAGTGTATGCTTATGTGTACTGTACACTTGTGTGTCTCATGCTTGCATTTCTGTTCTCTCCCCTCAGACCATATAGCCCAGATCATGGAGCTGCTTGGTCAAATTCCGCCAGTTGTTGCCTTGTCGGGTAAATACTCTGCAGAGTACTTCAGCCCCAGAGGTAAGTCTGCAGTTTTATGCATGTTGTGTGCGAGCACGTCTTCACATTAAATGATAACTAGTTGGTTTGAGTAAAGATCATGGTTCGGCTTAGAATATGGTGTTAGGGGTTTGTTACAATTTCAATTACAGACTTTAGAGTTACAGAAAACTTGTTGTCTTTTGGTTTTACGTGGGACCCAAACAGATGTCAGAAACATATTTGTGATGTGCCAAAAAAAGAGTATCAAGGAAAAACTGTGTTTCCCTCAAAAAGATATTGACAATGCAGTTTCTTTGAAAAAATTATGAGAGCGTAACAATCCCCCCACCCTCAACTAAAATGACACCTCTAATTCCGGCCTGGAGTTGTGATGTTTTATACGCAATGACAGTCTCCCAATCCCAAACCGTAACTGCCTGTCATATACAGTATACTGTATAAACCCCCTTCCCCTAGTTTCTCTACCAGTACACCCCTGATATTGCCCTACTGATTCATTTTAAAATTGCAAAGATGCCCTATTCTGGTTGCATTTCCTCTAGGTAATCTTCGTCGTGTGGGCCCACTGAAGCTCTGGAGACTCTACGACGTTCTGGTGGAGAAATACAACTTCCTGTTGGAGGATGCCGCTGGTTTTTCAAACTTCCTTCTTCGCATGTTGGACTTCCATCCAGAGAGGAGGGCCACCGCTGCACAGTGTCTCCAACACCCTTGGCTGACATCCTGTTAACAGTCCTCACAGCGAGATTCTCGCAGTAGAACCATTTTGAAGACTGTATTTCACTGACTTGATTTGTGAATTGTTGGTCAATGTGATAATGTCCAGCACCATATAGAGATTAGGATGCTCTACTCACCTGAAGCCCCATTACGCACTTTTTGCTGCTGGGGCGCTTTTATACTTTTTGAATGGAAGTCTTTACATGGCAGACCTTAGCATCTCTTTAAAGTGTGATTTGATTCTGATGTTCTCTGGCTTCACTAACACTGCTGACCAGTGAAGAAAGCGATCCAATGTAAACTTGAATGCAGCTATTATTACATGCTATTGAATGTTAATTACACATGTTTTTGTTAAATGTAAGATTCACACAATATTTCAAATGGTGTGTACTCTAAGGTTGCATTTCTTTTTGTTGAGCTTTTCAAAAGCCAAATAAAGATTCAGATTAAAATCAGAAACATCAATCACCTTTATTAATAAAGCTCTATCACACATTTGTCAAACAGGGCTATTCCAAATGTACAATATATAACACCAACACAATTTGGATAAGGAAACTCCTTAATCTTAAAATAAACTGATTAGGCACACTTTACCCCACACACTGTTTTAGATTTATTCAAGTGTGACTTTCAATTCCATACATGTCCCAAACTGTTTTTTCATAGAGCTTCCTGCTGGTGTAAAAAGAAAGCTCCTTGTAGAAAAATCAAACCAATTTTATTTAAATCAATGTTCCAAACAGCTTTCAACAGGTGGAAATTAACTATACTTTGTTTCATTTATTATGCTTCACAAATCAATAGTTTTTTCTTTAACAGAAAATCAAATGACTGTGTCATTTGAAAGGGTTTGCACATACATCTCTACAGAACTGTTTTGCCTTTTTGCTGGCAGACAGACCGCATGCCCAGCAACAAACAACAGACTTCCATTAGCAACTAGCAGATGAAGAAAGTGGTGCTTAAGAGACAGAGTCATGTTGCCAGAATCAGGCTCTGTGTTAATGCTAATTCTGTGTAAACATATTTCCTAATGTGTTTGCAATATACCCTCAAAATGGTGATTATATGTCATATGTGTGTTTCCAGGGAGTTCTGCTGCCCCCAATTGGCTAGAAAATCTTGAAAATGCTTGCCCATAAACAGATCAATGGGCAAAAGCTAACCATAACCCTACACTTTCTTCATCTAACAAAAAGTAAAAAATAAAACAAATATCCTTAAATTACAAATAAAATACAAAAATAAACTGTCCTGCAACTTCATAAAACATGAACGATTGAATATTTGCTATTTGATTTAATACAAATGTAAATGCTATGTGACTACGTTTACTTTCATGGTCACATTTATTTATAAAAAATGACTTTCATTGCTTTCTCTAAATACTTCTCATTACAGTAACTTTCTCAGTACCTTATTCAACAACATTGGCTGTGACTTGTGTCCAATAAACCCTTAAGCATCAAACTCTGATTTGACTTCTCATTAGAAATAATTACAAGAATATCGTCAAGGTTATGCTGTCCAGGATCTAGATTAAATACAAACAGTATATGAACTTTGTACAACATACATTCTTTACATATTTAAAATAGATTATTAAAGTCAAGCATGTCATCCTATCCAGCTGTAAGCTCGGCACTCCACCAGTGGGTTTTCTTTATAAACCACCGTGTAGCCACACTCAGTCCTGAGCCGACGACACTTCTTGGGCCAAGAGGTGGGCTTCATTGGCCTGGAATGGTAAAGGAGAGACGAGTTAGGAGACAAGAGGTTATGTGCGTTTTAAATGAGCTAAATGCCTTTGACTTCTGGTGTGGTTAGTTTTAGCAGTTGTGAACACAGTATTGGACCTTGTGTGGACCAAAAAAACCGCTTGTGAGATGTTTTCACATTTGTTTCCAAGCAAACCTTAGTAGGTTGGATTACAGTGAGAACATAATCTGACCAGATTGCATGAAGTGAAACTAAATGCAGGCAATTATGGCTGCAAACACAGGTATTTGTTGCGATGGACACAGGTTAACATGACTTCTGTGGTATTCCATTACTTGCTTGACACCTTGGTGGAAGATAGAATATGCGTTTTTAAATAATGTAGCAATTTTGACTTAATGGAGAAGGGATCTGTGTGCAAAGTAAATCAGTGCCGAGTCAATGTGAAAACAGTTCGACAGCAAACTTCTAAATGCACGATCTGCAGCATAAGTGGCATCTCTCGAGACAACAGCTTCTTCCTACATGCCCATCAGCAAATCATTATTTTAATTAAACCACTTTAATTTTTTCACAGCAAAGCCAATGCAAACTTAATAGAAAACTAACTAAAAGTTGTATTTCAATCTGATTCAGCCTAGCCAAATGGACTACGACTTATTTTAAATAAATTATTATGACTTTAGTGGAATGATCTACTCACGAGAAGCAGTTGGAGCCAAAGTCATGGCAGAAGCATTTGTCACAGCCTCTCCGGAAGGTCTCTCCTGGTTTGTAGTGCTTTTCCTTATAAGAACAGATACCTGTGGAAGAAATAACATATCAATCTCTTTTGTGTCTGCATGTCATACGTTTGTAGTTCTAGGCATACATTTACAGGAGGTTAAATCAAAACCAGATTCTATACACTTCTTAATAGATAAAGCTCTTTTGTTGAAGGTAAGTCACATTAATATCTAAATCTAGCGTCCACAGTGATACTCTCGTACTTCTGCAGGCTGTTGGGGCAATCCCATGTGGTATGTCAGTCACCTACAGGAGGGGGTAAATTATGATCACTGATCTGGTCTGAAGAGCCCCACAGGGATTTATGCAATGTCAGGGTATAGAGGACAAAGCTTCCGGTCAGCCAGTTTGGGTTGGTTTAAAAAACAAAAAAGGTGATTTTTACTCCCTAGGCAGAGCGTATCAAGCTCCCGGACTGGGCCGGGACATACGGACACATTATTTGATCAATAATTCTACAGCGAAGCAAAAGTAATTCTTACCTTTCATGTTGTACATGGAGGCTTCTGAGTATCCGTTGCTCAACAGAACGATGAGGGCCGAGCAGAAAGCAAACACCAGTGATAGAGAGCATCCATGAATGTTACCCATTGAATGGAGCATTTTTTCAAGAAAATTGATTTAAAAAATCTGTTTTATTATCTCTTTAAATTAACTACGCCTTTAGTTGATTCACTAGTTCAGATCTGACAGTTTGTGAATGTCCTGTATTATCCACTGAAGTCCTTGTGATGGCCAAGTACTCACTAGCTAATATTTATAGTCTCCCGTCACTGCTGGGAAGAGAAAAAAAGAAAAAAAGAACCACATGTTTAGTTCCCTGGTTTCTTCCCAGGTTCCAACTTTTGTTTTCAGAGCGAGGTGTGTTTGGAGTGAAGCTATGAACCCATGCGTCCCTAAATATTACCTTAGCCCTCGCTTGCTGTGTGGGTGACAGAGTTGGCCGGATTCAACTAGGGGTAGATTATGAGACAATGGGCCTCTGGGAACAGACATACAAATATCCCCACCACCTCTTCTACTAACCGTAGAAATCTGTAACACAGATTTGTTAGTTGTTAAGTCCTTTTTACCTCATGGGTTTGTGTCATTTGCAGTCTTAGAAGCTGAATTGTGTTTATTTGTGTCTTTGTTGTCCCTAAGTGTGTCTTTGTAGTTTCTTTGTGTTGTTTTGCATCTCTTAGTGGTAACTTTTTTAGTCTTTCTTTTTGTATCATGTTTGATTTGTGGATCTTACCTGTCGTTTTGCATTTCTTTTAAGTCTTCGTGTCTCTTTGAAGTTGTTTTATCTTTCTTGGTTGTCATTTAGAATCTTTCTTGACATTTGGAGGCCAGGTCACACTTTGGGGCCACGGGGCCTGTGTTAGGCCAATTTAGTAATCCACCCATGATTTCAAGGGTTCAGTGGTTACCATATGTTTGGCAAGCCTGTTTACCATCTACACTAATTGTATCTTTAACATACACATCATGTTTTATCAACCCTTCACCAACCCGAAACACACAGATACTGACTATATAATAATATAATAATATATATTTATATAGCGCCTTTCATGAGACCCAAGGTCGATTTACAAAGAAGAACAGGGGCAAAACAAACATAACAAAAACAAAAGGCAGTCAGACAACCAGTCAGACAGACAAAACAACAAATAGATTAGGGGCCAAAGGCCTTACCAAATAGATGGGTCTTGAGGGCCCTTTTGAAGGCGTCAAGCGTGGGGATGTTGCGGATCTCCGCAGGGTGAGCGTTCCAGAGGGTGGGGGCTGCCACACTGAAGGCTCTGTCCCCGAAGGTTCGCAGTTTGGTGCGGGGGGTGGTAAGCAGGCCGGAGTCTGAAGACCGCAGGTTCCGGGGTGGGGCATGTGGGTGAAGGATGTCCGATAAGTACTGGGGGGCAAGGGCATGGAGGGACTTGTAGGTGAGGAGGAAGACTTTGTAAGTTATGCGGGACTTGACCGGCAACCAGTGGAGGTGGATGAGGGTGGGAGTGATGTGCTGCCACGGCTTTGTATGTGTGAGCACTCTAGCAGCACAGTTTTGAACAAACTGGAGCCTGTCCAGGGTTTTGTTGGGTACCCCAAACTGGACACCATTGCAGTAGTCCAAGCGGGAGGTGATAAACGCATGGACTAGGTTTTCTGCAACCGACTCCGAGAGTGACGGTCGGAGTCTGGCAATGTTCCTTAGATGGAAAAAGGCCGATTTGGTCACAGACTTGATGTGGGAGTGGAGGGAAAGAGTGGAGTCGAGGATGACACCCAGGTTGCGGGCTTCAGGAGACGGGGAGATGGAGCAGCCGTCAACCTCGAGGATGAAGTCACCAACCTTCCGGATATACTGTATAAGATAAAACTATTTAGTATTTATATAAGATAAACCTATTTTTATGACTGCTGATGATGTCAAAAACCACTTTGTGCTGACATTGTCCCTTGTGTGAAGGATATTGGTTCAAACCGAATGATCACAAACTGCATTCTAAAACATTGCAAACTTTGAAATGTATTTTCCTCTTACTCCAAGCAAAAATGCTTTGGAGAAAAAGTATTGTTCTACATAGTCAGTTTTCTTTGCAATTTGGAAAGCTTACATACTAACCAACATCTGACATGGTAAGGAAATGACGGCAGTGTCGTGGTTTGCACAGGACATTTTCTGCTGTAAACTGTTTACATATGCTGCAGTACATATAGCATGATGTAAAGACCACAATATGACCAAGAAAGTCAAAATGTCAAATAGATTTACCCGGTTTGTAGAGGTAGTCTGACATCTGGAAAGATATTTGAGGTCAAGGTCAGGAAGTTCCAGGAGTAAAACTTATGTAAAAAATACAGACCTATAGAAGAAATATACTGTATCTCTGTGGGTCTCTGTCGCACAAACACATTCTGATTTTGCTGCCTGTGTGACTACCGCCAGACAGTTTGTGGTCAGTCTCTTCCTTCATGACA